TGCCGGTGGCTCCTGGGGTTGGGGCACAGAAGCTGACCCCTCCTCCCCTGCCCAGCCACGCTGCTGTCCCCCGTGCTGGCCAGCCCAGACTCCTGACCCCAGATCCAATAGCATCTGGCTGCCACAGACTGAAGGCTGCCATGCCTAAGAAGCATTCCACAGCACACTTCTGACCCCTTTATGCCCCTCCGGCATGACTGGATTCAGAAAAGTCTTCAGGTCTCTGCTAGAAGCTTCCTGACACTTAGCAGGAAGAGCCATGGTTTTCTGGTGGAGACAGGATGACCATTCTCCTTCTCCACTCACGTCAGGGACACGGCCCTCACGCTGAGGTAGGAGCCTCCTCTGGTTCCTGATAAAATCCCTTCCCAGCTGAAGTCCTCTGCCCTCTGCCCGGAAGCCCCTCACATTTCAAAGTTGTGTGGGGTGAACAACTTGAATGGACCTGAGATCTCTCCCCTGGGGAGACCTCTTCTTTCTCTTACAGAGAATCCATCTGGTCTCAGGGGTTTCCCTTGAACTCAAACAGTAAAAAATGAGGAGACAAGGGAGAAATTAGTCAAATCCTCCCAGGTTCCCTCAGTAATGGCCTCGGACACCATTTCCTTCAGCCTCTCAGAAAGGTCCCCAAACTGGGAAAGAAGCCTGTCACTGCCGGCCCAGGCTGTGCGGCAGGTCTCGCTTGCTCTTTCTGTAGGTTTCTCCCTTTGCATTCACTGGCATTTGGCCACTCCGAAAGGTGCTGCCAGCTTCCCCCAAAGAAAAGAAAGTTCCTCAAAGAGCTCTTCATTCTTTGCTTGGAGTTTCTGGAGAAAGAGGCAACTTTTGTTTTTTCTACCTTTGAATGGTCCTGAGGTGCATGAACAGGATGAACTAAACCAGTCAGGGTCTTTACCTTCCACCCCAACTGGGTAGATTTGTTTTTTCTCGTTAAAAAATAAATCAATAAATGGTTAAAATGATCAATGTTATGTAATGGATAATTAACTGCAATTTTAAAAAAGCAAGTTAAAAAAAGAAAACAAAACAGGATTCAGGACCAGCAGTTAGTGTAATGGATATGTTGCTGGACTCCCACATAGTCCATCATGGTTCAAGTCCCGGACCTGGTGGCTTAAACTCACGCCAGGCGCATGCGCGTGCATGCCCAAGATCCCAAGAGGAGAATGGAGGACCTGGTGGCTTTAAAAAGATGCTGGGATTGTAGTGTGGCCATCCCCCTGGGAAGTGATTTCTGGTTTTCTGTCTCTCTGTCTCTCTCTGTCTGGCGAGTGCATGCACCCTATAGCAAAAACTTCTCAAAAAACAAAAACAAACAAACAAACAAAACAACCAGGAGAAAATCAACACTTTACAGCCATTATTTAATTTCATCTTTCCAAAACTTTGTGGGGAGTGGAGAGTCCCATCATTTCACAGATAAGAACATGGAAACCCAAAGAGGCCCAGCTGGTCTGAGGTCTTGGTTCTTGAGGCCTGCAGTCAGCCCTGGGAGGCCACGGCCACAACCCCAGTGGTCTGGAGAGCAGGCCATCCCCAAAGCCACATGAGCAGTGCTGCTGCTCCCGTGGTCTCCCTCCTTGCTCAGACACTGTGGGCAGAACATTCCCCCAGGAAGGACTACCCCTCTGCTCCCAGCCTCAGACCCATGGTGACCCAGAGGGGGAAGACCCTGCCTCCACAGCCCGGACACGCTGCTCAGTGTGGAAACCTGTTTGTGTCAAGGCTCTTCCTACTTAGCGGAGACATAAGGATGAATTCTGCCGTCATGGGCCTTTAGAAGAGGCTAACTGTGCCCAGTATACGCATTTCCATTTGAAACGCCAGTGAGATGATTCAGCTATAAATAAAGCACATAAATCAAGTCCCTGAGGCCTAGAGCTGGCATTAATTCTTTCACTTTATGACTTGTTTCACTAAATCCCTTTCTCAGACGTATTCTCATACAACTCATTCCTCATTATGGTTCGGCTTAATAACATAGCTTTCAGGGGCCAATGTCCAGCATGGGAATCTTCAAGAAAACCACAGCAGCGGTGGCAGCAGGTGCCCAACTCACCTGGAATCCAGGAATATCAGCTTCAGGTCAAGGCTGGCCCTGAACATGAACATGTTGCTGTGCAGCTTGATCTCGGTGATGGCACTGGGTGGCAGAGACTGGCCCACGGCCACCAGCCCCACGATCTGGTAGCACGAGTCATACAGGGACATGTCCAGCATATACTGCCTGATCTTCAAGTAGCCACTGCAGTGGATGACCTGGGAAAGCAAGGGCACGTCAGCTGCAGTAACAGCCGAGGCTTAGGCTGTGGCCACTCCTCCAGGCTTGTTTTCTTGAAGACGCTGGAATAGCTCCAGCCCAACCGTACAGAGCTAGGCACCAATATACTGATAGACATCTATTCCGTTGCTCAGAAGAATTGAAGTTACATTTCATTCTTGCAGAAAAATATCTTCATAAATACAAGGGTTGTCCTATCTGACTGTCCATGAGCAAGTAACTCCACAAATTATGATTCTCTCTAAGTTGGATTTAATACAAATTAACTCATCGCCAAGTTGTGATTAAATGACACACCGAGAGCATTCTGGAAAACAGCTATTTGTTCTACAATACCAGTTTCAATAACTATAATGCTTATCACCTTCCTATGGGATTGAATTTGACATCTGCATCACTTAACATAGTGTACCACTTCAGTGTGTTAAGAATTCTTCCAATAGAATAAAAAAGTTTTCATTTGAAATTATTTTTAGAGGGGCCAGCAGATAGTGTAGAGTTTACGTGGCTGGACTCCCACATGGCCAACTGTAGTTTGAGTCTTGGACTGGGTGACTTGAAACTCATGCCAGGCGTGTGTGCATGCGTCCCAAGATCCCAGGAGGAGAATGGAGGAGAGAAGATTGTGGCGTGGTCATCCGCCCGGGGGTGATTTCTCATGTTCCCTTTCACTGTTTCTGTCTCTCTCTATCAAGTGCACACACCCTAAGGTAAAAACCTCTTTAAAAAAATTAAAGGCCAGGGACTAGCAGTTAGCGTAATGGCTTTGTTGCTGGACTCCCATGTAGTCGACCGTGGTTTGAGTCCCAGATCCGGCGGCTTAAACTCATGCCGGGTGTGTGTGCATGCATGCCAAAGATCCTGAGAGGAAAATGGAGGAGAAGGGATTGCGGCATGGCCATCCCCCCTGGGAGGTGATTTCTTGTTTTCTGTCTCTCTGTCTCTCTCTGTCTTTCTGGTGAGCGCACGCACTGTATAGCAAAAAAAAAAAAAAAAATAGGCCAGCAGGTGGTGTGGAGGCTAGGTTCTGGGTCCTATCTGGCCAACTGAACAGTTTGAGCCTCAGACCTGGTGGCTTGAAAACGATGCCGGGCACATGTGTGTACATGCCCAAATCACAAGAGAAGAGAGGAGAAGAGATTGTGGTGTGGCCTTCCTCCCCAGAGGGTGATTTATCACTTTCCCTCTCTCTCTGTCACTCTCCTGTGAGCACAGGTGCCCCATAGCAAATTAAAAAAAAAATTTTAAACAATAAAATACAATGTACTTTTATTTATTTATTTATAATCACATTATTCCCTTATAGTAAATAGTAAGCCAAAGCCACAGACGAGGAATTGCCAGTGTTCTGTCAAACAGAAGTATCTGCACAGCCATAGACCTCACTACTGAAAGCATGTTTGGTTTTTGTTGTTGTTTTTGGAGAGGTTTTTATTATAGGGCACATGCACTCACCAGAAATATAGAAAGTGAGAAATCACCCCCAGGGAGGATGGCCATGCTGCAATCCCTTCTCCTCCATTCTCCTCTCGGGATCTTGGGCACGCACGCACGCACACGTGCCTAGCATGAGTTTAAGCCACCAGGTCTGGGACTCGAACCGCAGTCAACTACATGGGAGTCCAGCAACATAGCCATTATGCCAACTGCTGGTCCCTACTGAAAGCATGTTATAGTCAGTTAAATCTTGCTAGATCATAATCACCACCACAGTGGTGATGAGCAGCCTTCCATTCTTCAATCTTACCCTCTAATTCTCTTTTCAAAACCCTCCCTTCAGGACTTCTGAACTCATTCACAATCTTTAGAGCTGCAGCAAATCTTAAAATCCATCTTGTCTATTCTCCCATTTTACTGACACCAGGGACAAGACAGAGATGTGTTTAACTTATGATTAGACAACTGGACAGTTAATAAATGGCAGAAACAGGCTAAGACCCCAATCTCTTTTAATAATTTCTTTTTTAAAAATTTTTTTAGAATTATTTTATTTAACTTTATTTATTATTATTATCATTATTATTTTTCAGTTTGATCAGAGAGACAGAGAGAGAGAGAGGAAGCGAGAAAGCAAGCCACCAGGTCCCAGACTTGAACCGTGGTCGGCCATGTGGGAGTCCAGCGCCTTTAACCACCATGCCACTTGCCGGCCCCAAGACCCCAATCTCTTGAAGAATGTCTACAGCGGCAAGGCAGTGCTGGGAGCTCCACTACCTCGACCCAAAGAGGCTTGAGTCTGGGACTGAAATTAGACATGTATCCCCCAGACTGTATAATCAGGTCAAAGGGAAGGTCTCAGAGTGGGTTCAAAGGAGAGGCTGGGGAGGAGCGATGGGGAAGGCAGACCCTAGGATGGTAGGGGCAGGGAAGGGAGGCACTCCAGAAGAGGGGAAACGGTACTAAGGCACCAAAGTGCCCCTCTTTCTTCGCCTTGCCTTCCTCCCTCATTGCTAAGGGGCAGATACTCTTGGAGAAAGGTTCCCAGCAGCCTTCAGTTGCAGAGTGATGGGTTCTGGGAGAGAAAGCAGGGAGGGCTTCTAGGAGGACATGAGGTGCTCCATGAGGTGCTCCAAGAAGTGGGGGAAGAGCTGAAGGGGTGCTGCTCAGTTCTGCTCAGCTGAGACCCCCAAACCTCCCCTCATCTGGGAGTGGCTGGCTCTGAGGTTGAGCAGCAGGTGGCCTGCTCCCAGTTTCTGGGATTAGCCAGAGCAAGTGGCAAAGTCTGGCAGGAAAATGCAGCTAGAAGAAGCGTGGGCTGGGCACAGGGGTGGGCTGACCTGCTGCCCCTTTTCCCTTCTTAGTCCAGTACCCGGTGGAGGCCAGTCATACTCCATTTG